CATTAAGTCTTATGAGCCCAACACTCAACTGATGGTGCCTAGAATTTGCCTTGCTTGTTGCATGTTAGATTCATATGTCTACAAAGCCTCTGCTGTTCTGAACTTATTCAGCTAGCTTTATAACTGCAGGAATCTAGGGTGTACACCACCAAGCTGGCTTTAGATCAGTAACATCCTGACTCCTTAGAATTTTATATTACTTAAGTTGAAATCTTAGAGGCCTGATTAAAGTTTATTCATTGTTTAAAAAAATAAAATACAGTGTTTTATCTGAATTAAAAAAAGTTAATTGGAGAAAAATCTAAAAGTACCAAGAATATTTAAATCTATCCCAGACTGAAAGCTCACTATATGCCAGGAGTTGTAAAAGATTTTCATATATGTCACCTCATAATACATAGAAAATCTAACTTCTTGGTTTTTAATTATTGTGGTCTTTCAAGCCTGTTCACGCTAGGCATGCCAAGGTTGACCACAGTAACCCCAGTATGTAGCACTTTGTCCGGTACATAATAAGCATTCAATTTATATACAATGAATGATGCTTGTGAGCTAAATTCTCTTAATCCTAATTTTTCAAAATTCGTATTATGTATCCATTGAGGATTCTGAAACATAACTGTCATCAATGAACAGTGCAAGGGGCACCGATATGAATGATAAATGAGAAAGGGTGGCCATTTGGCCTTTGCTTCTCATAATTGCCTACCAGCTATAAAATATTTTCTACACACTGTCAACTTGATTTTTATGACTTTATATTGTACATTCCATCTGCACGCTAAATGTATAATTCATTTTTCCTTCATGTTTTGGGGAATCAAAATCTATGAAGTATGTTTATTTTTATTTATGCTTTTAGGCTTCCGTTTCCCTTGATGCAGCAGCTACTCATCTCTGCACAGTCCAGCTGTACCCACATTAGGTACATTTTTGGTCTCTATTAATCCCCAGGTATAGAGCCAAGCCCTTTGTGTCTTTATCTGGTGCTCATGGTGGATCTAAAGCCAGTTTCATACTAGCCTTATCTTGAAGGGCTTTGCTTTCCTGTTGCTGCTGCTTGGTGGTGGTGGTCATGGTTGTTGTCATTTTCTTGTTGTTCTCTGTTTTCCTTTTCTTCTCTTTCTTCTCCTTCTCCTCTTCCTCCTCCTTCTACTTCTCCTTCACCTCCTCCTCCTCCTCCCCCTTCTCATCCTTCTTATCCACCTTCTCTTCCTTCTTCATTTTCAGGCAAAGCGGTATATTCCCATGTCCCATGGTGAATACAAATAAAGAAGAAACTTCGGGGCAGGGCGGGTTACCCTTTTACTATTGAGCGTAGAGCCCTTTGGAACATTACACTAAAGGACAATAGAAGCCCAATGCATTGCTTTGGAACATAGCATAGAGACAAAATGCAGTATCGCAAGACACCAAGGGAGCTACAGGGCTTTACTCATCCTATTGGCCTAACCCAGGCCTCTCTCACAGGTAATTAGGTTCTTCACTTTATGCTAAAGGACACTTCAAATGTCTCAATCGTGGATCTTGTTAATTTATAAAATTTGCTTTTGATCAGATAAGATAGAACTGTATTTAACTTTTGCTAAAATAATCCCAGCAGACTTATAAAAATACTTACAACTTTACTTTGAATTGTCAAACATATTCTTCCGCTCACTAACGTATGCATGTGCACGTGTGTGTGTGTGTGTGTGTGTGTGTGTGTGTGTGTGTGTGTTCCTCTAATGTAGTCATCACCTACTGGATATTTTATCAAGAGAATTACCATGCTATATCTATGTAGTCCTTTGCTGATAACAAACAGCTTCTAAATACTTTATTTCATCTGATCTTTAGGAAAACCCTGCAGCATAATATTTTTATGTGCATTTAAAAGAAGAGGAGGCTGAAGCTCCAAGTGGTGGTGTTACTTGCTTAGAGTCCAATATCTCACTCAGTCCTGACAAAAATGGTACTCAGATCCAAATCTTCAGTTTCAAATTAAGTGCATCTTCCTACTATGGCATGCTGCCCCTCAAAACCATGTGTAGAATCAGAGTAAACAGATTTAGATGGAACTATCACAAAAATAATAGAGGCCTGAGGAAGCACACCCCACCTTCCATGCACATAGCTGCTTCTGGTCCAGCTGACATAAGCAGTCACTTCATTCGATCCTCACTTCCACTCCCTTCTCCCTCTTTCTCTCTAGCTCTGCTGGGATGGCACAGCTAAGCTGCAAGCTGCAGAGAGGATGCCCAGCATGTCCTCTCCACACATGTGGCTAATGATCTGGAAAAGCTCCTTAAGCCCAGAAAACCCAAAGAGGCCTTTTCACTAAGAACAAATAGCAATGAAAGGAAATACAGAGCCACCCTGCAGTGCACAGTACTCTATGGGAAACAAAATTGCATCTGTTGGACACCTTTGTTTTTTTCTTGTTCTTTCCCTCTTTACTTGCGTTACCAGTCTCAGAAACACCAACGTTCCTCTGTACTTTACTGGAGATTCCCCCAAATACAGTTCCTGAATCAAATCTAGTTGTGCCACTGGCCAAATCCAGGGATAAATCTAAGCTAACAGCCACCTAACCTCACAGAGGACTAACCCAGCAGATGTTGATGGTTTACTGTAAATATCCGGCATAGAGACAGCCAAAATGAAGCAGCCAGGCTGGCAATTTATAGATGCAATAGATGTAAGGAACAGGCCATTTATCATAATTCAGATCTGCTCCCATTTATTCTCCAGGAGGTTCTTTGAATGCTATAAATTATGGAAAAACTATACTATACAAACCAAACTTAATAAATACCCAATTTCCCCAAATATGACACAGAGAAAATACTACCAGTCTGTTTTTGGAGAGTCCAGTTTTTGAAAGGAGAACACTTTGCCATTATGAGTTGGGGGTCAGTCTAGGCAATGGCCCTTTATCTTCTCCTACTTTGTTTTATGGAAGTATCCACATTTTAAGTCAAGGAGGGAAATAGTTGGGGAAGGTTATAGATTCTTGTCAAACAAAACAGATGTCCTGACACATAAATTTTCACTGTTCCTGAAAGGCTCATAATTAAAAAATGAATCCGAGAGGATTTACTGTAAATTACACACAAGGAGAAAGAAATTAATAGGATGTCTTTTTTCCACCCAGCATTTACTATAT